GATGGTTAGGCTGACAGTGATCACTGACTGTTTTTAGGGGCTTGTTCAGATGTAATAGAACAAGATAAAAAGCATTAAAACATTTTAACAGCACAACAGGCTTAATAAACACAGAAGTTTTGGCCCGGAAGCAGGATTCATACATCATCACTTAAAGAACAGCTCTCGGGGCAGAGATAGCTCAGTAGATGCCAGATGATCGGAAGGTTGGGCATTCAACGAACAGCGGCTATCCTGGATTGGTAGCTGCCTACTGCATCACTGAGTGAATAGGTTAAATGCAGAGTACTAAGCATTTTCCTACAGGATTAATGATGTATACATAAACAATGAGATTCAAGATAAGGTCAATTTGATAATATTTGATACATCTGTGAAGCAGAAATATCAGTAAAACACACAGGAAGTAATATATCTGAAATATTAGTAAAAAATAACTTAATATAAATGGTGAATAGCACACTTTTGTGACATTTGTCAACACCATTAGAAAAAGGGTCAACAACGTCAGACAAAAATCCTGATGGTGTTGAGATCTGATGGTGTTGACAAAATACCCTACTTTCTCTCATAACACATGTTTTTCTGACAGAAGCCATCTTGTTTTTCATCATTTGTTTATGGCCTCTACAATCTACCTAAATTAAGCTCTTTTTACAAAACAAAATAAATAAATCTTGGTTTACATTGACTTTGGTGTTGACGCACTATGGCTGTGACACGGAGTTTTATCAGAAAGGTGTGTCATAAATGAAATAAAGATAAAATAAATTATCACAGCAGTGACCTCATGGCATGTGTACCAAACAGGAAGTGGTAAAGGGGTCCTCAGAGTGTAAGCTACCCACAATAATTCCTGATTCTTTTCTACTTTTAAAAAAGTAGGGAAATTTTTTTTCAATTGCATATTTTGATATTATATAATGTTATTGACTTAAATACTTAGTGACGAGAGCCATGATGTTTAATTTTACATTACTTTTACTTTTTTTTCCTGTATTTTAATATTATCACACCTGCTTCTGGACAATGGATTTTTAAGGTACTGGTAATCTATTGTACCCTTTAAAATAAATATATATGTATATAAAAAAAATGCAAAATCATACTTTTGTTGCATAAACATTGCCTTGGTTTGTCTTTTAGTCAGTTGGGTTAACACTTGTATTCATATTTTTAACCCCAAAATTGGGTTTTATCTGGCAGACACGTTTTGTCCCTTATCTCAAGAATCACTGAGTAACCAAACAGGGGCCACCGTGATGTTTTCCAGCTCTTGGTGCCTCATCAGCTACATACCAATGTGCTCCACCTGGTTTGTGGTTCGGTGGCAGCGGGTCACTTCGGAGTCACCATAACTTTGCAAAGACTTCGGTCCTGGTTCTACTGGCCAGGGTATCACCAAGATGTAGAGCTCCATCAGTATGATTCTTGCACTGCCCAGAAGGGGCCATCAGAATGGTCCCCACTTGCAACAGTATCAGGTGGGGGCTCCCATGGAAGGTGTTGGGGTAGTCATCCTTGGCCGTTTCCCTACCACTAACCTAGGGAACCGCTATGTCCTTTTCCTGCCATAGCTACTTCACCAAGAGACCTGAAGCATATACAGTCGCCGCCCAGAGTGCTGTTACCACAGCTGAGTGTCTAGTCAATGAGAAACATAATACTCAAAGAAGGAGGGAAGGTCTTGCACCTGGCAGGTGTGGGTTTATAGCCCATAGAGGCCAGCGTTGCCTTCCCCAAAACCTCCAAGATTTGGCTGAATGTAATCTGTTGTAATCTGTATGTTATCTCCCATCATGCCTCTGGCAAACTGTGCTTCATGTTAAGTTTAAGGAAATTGTCTTTGCTGTATCTGTTATTGTTATGAAACTTACTTAGTTTTGTTCCTGCATATCGTGCTGTGTTGTTTTAACATACAGCTGTTGTTATAGTGGAAAAGAGATGTTACACCATAAGTGAATATAACTGCAGGGTTACTGACCCTCTTGGAAGCACAGTGTTGGGTGTCTTCTCAATGGTGAATAAACAAGCTCCCCCTTGTGTGTCACTGGGATAAGAGGCATTATCTAAAGAGCCAGCACCTAATTGTGAAATCCCTGCTATGTGAGTGCTGAGCTTGGTCCAATATTTTGCATGACAAACAAGAAACATCTCTTAAGGACATGACTTTCAGATACTAATCC